AAGCCTGTCACCAGTCAGGCTAGTACCAGGCCCCAGGGCCCACAGCAGGGCAATGGGTGAGCAGAGAACAGGGAGGGCTTCCAGGAAGAGGTGACACAAGGCCACAGTCTGGAGAGGTCGAGAATGGGGGCATGGAGAAGATCGGGGTTGGCTGTTGAGGGTCTAAAGAGTCCCTTGAAGGGGAGACTGGACCTCAGCCAGGAGAAGGACAGGAGCTCTGAACAGCAGGAGATAGGGCAGGATGGGCAGAGGCCTGCTTCTTGACCACTGCCGCTGTCACTCTACCCTTATCCCTTCTTCTAAGGAGGGACAAGGGCCTCCCCAGCCCTTCCCATCTGAGGCCGCTGAATGTGGCCAAGGCAGAGAGAAAGGCCTAGGGTGTGGGCCGGTGGCCAGGCTGGCTCAGGCTCTGCTGTTTAGAGGGCCACACGGGGCTTGGCCTCCTAGGCCTGGGCTTCCTGGCCTGTAAGATGGGGCTGGTGATCCATCAAGGTTCTGTGAGGTGGCCCTGATGATAGATGTCCATGCCCAGCACACAGAGGAGCTACGCCACCTGCCCAGGACTGCCGAGGGCCCAGATCCTGAAGGCAGGGCAGAGCGCAGGTGCTGGGCCCACCGGTGTCCTCTGTATTCCCCGTGGCCGAATCTCCAGGGCTCAGGGCACTGGGAGGGAGGGGACAGGAGCTGCCAGGAGCCGCCTGCCTGGCCGTAAATCACCCGCCACGCTTAATAATCATGTGGGCACTTAAGCTCCTCTGTCTTCTCTTCCCCTTTCCCTGGGGAAATTTCCTTCATTTCCTACATTATCCCAGGCTCCCTGAATGTCTAAATCAAGCCCCGGCCAGGGCTCTGTGGTGACGCCCTCGGCCTACTTTTATTGGGAGGGTGGGATGGGAGGTGCAAAGGCGGGGGGGGGCGCAGAGGCGGGGTCGGGGGGGCGCAAAGGTGGTGGCCATCCGGATGCGGTCACTCAAACCAAGGTTTCATTACTGCCCAGGACAGAAAACTGAAAACGCCACCAAGCCCGCCCTTTGAGCTGTAGTGACAATGTCCTCAGGGCCCTGCAGCGGCATCCCCTATCACTGGGACCAGTCAGCAAAGCCCGGTGGCCTCAGGCAGGAGGCAGAGGCAGAGGCAGAAGCTGAGTGGGGAGCTGACTCAGCCCCTTGGTTGAGATGGAGGAAGAGGAAATGTTACCTCTCGGGCTACCTGGGACACCAGGGCAGGGTGACTGTCACCCCGGAGACTAGCCAGCAGCCACTCCACGTGGGCCTGACCACAGTTAGCCTGCCCCTGCTCTCCCATCACGGAACTGGGCTCTCTGGGATGTGTGGTCTGCCTTGCTCATGACAAGGATGGTGGGTGGGCGCAGTTCCGGTGCCGTCTCCTGCCATTTATCCAGCTCCAATCCTGCCTCTCATCTGGTCTAACTCTCACCCTAACTAGGAGGGTAAGGTTACTAGCCCCATTTTACAGATGAAGATACTGAGGCCAGGGGAGGCAAAGCAACCTGCCCGCCCCCCGGGCTGTTCACTCCCTGCTGCCGAGAAGCTCTGCGACCACCTCCTGGGCTCTGCTCCTCGTCTGTGAGCTGGAAACATGTTCCCAGGCCGGTGCCAGCACCCACAAGGCCCAGGGGAGGCCAACGCGCACCACCACCCCAGGCAGCAGGAGCTGGGAGGTCCCGTGGGGAGAGTCAAGCTGGCCACTGGCAGGCCAGGCAAAAGGCCCCAGCACCATCACCACCTCCCCGCTGGAGACTCCTGACTCCCAAGAGCTGGATGAGGAAGCCACCACCAGGACATCATCTGGGCTGCGGCCACCTTGCTACTGACCCTAACAGCCCGGCACTCCCAGGTCTGGTCCGGTGAGTGCTTGCAACTCAGCCACGCGGTGGTGGCGGCACCTTCCCAGGCCTCCCTGGGCTCCCTGGGGATGAGTCGGCCAGGTTTTTAAAAGCTAGGTCTCATTTTCTGCCCACATTTCTGACCTCCGGAAACCTCTTGGGGAGTGTTCCAGAGCCCTTCGGATTCCGGCACTGGCACACTTCCTGTCTCCGCTCACCGTGTTCACGGCCAGGTCACTGGGTGCCAAACCCGCCAAGGCGGGTCGATGGGTACCGCTGCCCAGGCTTCTGGCTGCGCCTTCCATGCTGCATGTCCGTGGGCTCTGGCTGGCTCTTGACCCCTCAAACAATCGTCTCTGGTCAAATTCCGTGACTCCTTCCTTCAAAAAAACAACTCTCTTTGCAAACAACAAGAACCCCAGTTCTGAGAACCTGGCAGCGCCAGTGCTCCTGCGGCTTCATTTTCTCTTTGTCTTTCTTTCTCAGCATTGCAAGGCACTCAAGAAATAGTTCCACCCTCTCATTTTACAGATGGGTAAATTGAGGCCCAGAGAGAGGAAGGGGCTTATTCAAGGGCCCCTCAGTGATTCTACAGCCCAGACACAGGGGAGCCCAAGGCCCTAACCCGGACACAGGGCTGAGTCCACAACACCAGAACCCAGCAGCCACTGGACTCCAACGAGAAAGGACAGGGGAGCTGCCGCGGCACTGGGCATCAGGCGCTGCTGGTGCGTGTTGGCCAGGGCGGGCGGGGCCCAGACCGCTGGCTTCCCTGGCACCAAACGGCTGGTGCTCTGTGAATGTGAGAAGAAACCCCCAGGCGAAGCCTTGAACTTCAGGGGCAGAGCTCAGGGAAAGCAGGCCGGCTCTAATGGAAACCAGTCAGCGGGCCAAATGCAGCAGGAGCCCCCCCACCGTGGTTTCCATGGGGACGGAGCCCGGGAGGCGGAGCTCTGGCATGGCTGCTGCAGCAGATGTGGCCTGTACAGGGCCGGCACGGGGCGGTGCCTGGCAGTGGGGCCCTGGGACGTGGCAGGCCCGAGGGCTGGACACAGGAGCTCTGCAGCTGCAGCCTCGGAGGTCAGCTTTGGGAAGGAGCCGGGGACTGCAGGGCTGTCACCTCTGGGAGGCCTCCTGGATTCCTAGGATGTTCCAAGCTAACTTCTCGGCCTCGTCTGGTACTGGCCTCTGTCTGGTCTCCATTTGGTGCCCGTGTTTGCTGAGGACACGCAGCCTGCCTCTCCATGAGGACGCCATGCCTGTGGGCCAGGTGCAGGCAGTGCAGGGCTTGGGCCGTGGGTCTGGGTTCCAGCCCCTCTGGCCAAGGCCCCAGTGCTCCCCCAGGTCTGCTCTATCCCATCACTCAACAGCGCTGTTGGGCCTCTTCCCGTGGCCATCCTGGGGCCTGGCACATGATGGGTTCCATAACCTCTCTGAGCCAGTCCTCTGTAAAATGCAGTGAGCTCAGCACTGCTCTGAAACACAAGAAAACCCGTGGGCTCAGGGCCGCGAGCGCCACAACGCTCGGAGATGACGGGTCATCCAGGAGTGTGACCCACGCCGATGGATGGGGTGGGGTCTCGAGAAGGTTCTTGTGTCCCTGCCCTGATGTGGTCCCCCATCTGCCCTTGCGGGGCTGCTGTCCTGTGAGCCCATCCTGGTCTGGCACATGGCATCTGGGGCACAATCTCATACAGTGCCTGCCTCTCAGCCGCAAAACACCAAGAACAAGGACGACTGTAGCTCCCTCCTTACCGCCACCTGTGGCCACACTGTGTGCAGTCCCGCGCCTGCCAGCACACCAGGACTCGAGGGCACAGAGCCCGAGAGTGGCAGGGTGCCCTGGAGCCTGGCACAGCCCAAACCAGCATGCTCTGAATGCTGGCGCAATGACCACTCAGCCAGAGAGGCCTCAGGGCCTCAGAGCCAGAGTGACCCATGTCCCCAGGACAATTCCGGCTCTCCCTGGGGCAGAAGGATTCCAAGCCGAAGGAATGGTCCTTCCTCGTGCTGGGGGTCCAGGGAGAACCAGACAAGGCCAGCATCCAAGAGAGGCCGAAGAGAAACAGGGGTCCCGTGTGGTTCTGTGCAGGCGCAGGCGTGGGAGGACCTGGGTTAGGGAGAAGGCTCCGGTAGCTGCTGGCCCTGTGACTCTGGGGAGATCCCTCAGCCTCCCTGAACCTTAGCCTCCTCGTATAGACAACCATTAACACCCACAGCCCACTAGACTGGAACGTCCACGCAGACAGGGGCCTGTCTGTCCTGTGTACTCCGTATTCCAGCCCGAGAACAGCATGGCGACAGCTGGCTCCAGATGGATGTTGCAATGAAATGGAATTGGCAGATGACATTTAAAAATGGACGTTTATAAAAATGGATGGAAAGCACCCTGTCCGGGGTCTGGCACTTAGTAGGTGCTCAACACAGCTTGACACCCCCTGCCCTGAGGGCCGAGTCTAACATCCAACATGCACCGAACGCAGCCCCAACTTTCTCCCCTGGACCAAAGCAGGGGATTTCCGCCACCCAGGATTCCCCTCTGCTCCTGCTCTGCTGACCCGGTGGCCCCGGCAGATGGAGACGCTGTGGCGGCCACATCTTTCCCTCCACGGCACCTAGCCAAGGCTGTGGCCGCCGTGGACCGGCGTGGCCTGCCACATTCCTCAGCCCCAGGAGAGCCCATTTGCAAGTTGCTTCCATAATGTGGGTGCCTCGGGCCGAGCCCCGTGAATTTGAGTCGTTTGAATCCATCTAGGAGATCGCTCACCCCTGGTGCTGGAGGCCTGAGCCCCCTTCGGCCCACCCGCCAGGTGCTGGGAATCTCCACAAGTGCGGGCGTCTGGCAACTTACTATCTCCAGCTGAGGGGACCGTGTCCACGCTGCCCAGGCTTCCGAACAAGGCCATGCAGACTTTAAAGGGCGTCCGCTGCAAGGTCACAGGCGCCAGTGTCCGCTCATCCGGACCTTGAAGCACCAGGCCCAGGTGGAGTCCTCCTTCCACGGAGTTGAAAGAAGCCTCCCGGGCGGAAGGCCCGGGGTGGGATCCCTCCACCCACGTCTGGGCCGGAAGCGTGGGCACGCCCACTCCAGGAATCCCAGGGCGGGGCCGGGCTCCCAGGAAATGGGGCCAGAGGTTCCCTGGCAGGCACTGGCGCAACCCGGCTGCCTTCCCAGTCCCCGCCTCCTGCGGATTCCTTCTGGGGTTTTGGGAATGGCTGGCCCAGCCCACACCCTGCACCCAGCCCGCCTGGAAGCTCGGAAACCCAGAGGCTCCCACAAGCCGGTGCTGGGACCCTTCTCCAAGACCACCCGACACCGCGGCACACCCGGCCACCCTGGCATCTGGGCGGGTGCTGGGTCACGCCATCCGTTAAGGTCATGGGAAGCCGGTCGGGAGGGTCTGAAATGGGCTGAGAGGGCCCACCGCAGGGCCCGGGCCTCCCGTCCCGTCTTCCTAAGGCCACGGCGAGGGAAGTGCCAAGGACCAAGGGCTCCCAGACGAGGCCCATGGGGCGCCCGCAGCCGCCTTCCGAGGCGGAGGCCGCAAGCCCCCGTTTTCAAGACAAAGCTGAGGCCTTGCAGTAAGAACCGCTTTTGTCAAGGTCTGTTTCGTCTGAAGGCGTGCTGGGCCCTTGCGCCGTCTCACTGAACCCAGTCCCTGCCATGCGCCCTCTTAGGAAATGGGGCCGCGAGGCTGCCCGTGCCCCGGCACGCAGGCACAGGTGTGCGCATGTGGGCACCCAGGCCCGCTGGGAAGGCCTGGCCAGCTGGCTGCTTCTTGCAGAAAGGCGGCTAGCACGCTCACCGGCCCACAGAGGCCTTCCGGGCGCTCCCTCCCGCGGCCCGCCTTCCCGGTCCCCTTCTGGGCCTGCCCACGCCGCCATTTCCTCTCCGGGGCCTGCAGGCCTCACTTCCACTCCACCCAGTCTGCAAATGGCCGGCGCCCAGACCCGCCTGTCCACATACGGAGGCAGCAGTGCGTCTGGCCAGGGCCCAGCGTGCAGGCCACCTAGCCAGGGCCTGCCTCGGCAGTGCCGAGCGCGGCCAGAAGCCCAGGCCTGGGTGGTCAGTCCACCGCCATCGGCTTCGCTAGCCCTGGGCTGGGGAAAAGCACCCTTCACGGGCATCCTGGGGGCAGCGGAGGCCCAGGGCCCCGTCTTCCTCACGGGTGGGCTGAGGGCTCCGGGGCCCTCAGACAAATGCGCCTCCAAACACCAGTTCACCTCTTCGGAAACTGCCCACCTACCAGGAATGTCAGCCAGTGGAGAAATGAGAGGGCGCCTCCACACGCATGGAAACGTTACACGCACATGCCTGTGTGCAAGCACGCTGTCCACACCCGGGGCGGCACGCACACCAGTGCAGAAACACTCACCGGTGAATGCTGTGGCAGAACCTGGGCTTTGGAAAATGGCAGGGCTGGGTTCAAGTCCTGGCCCGGCCCTGACCAGCTGATTGAACCTTGGGGAACCCACTTAGCCTCTCCGAGGCTCGCTGCCTCCCGTGGTGGAATGGAGGTGATGATAATGCCCCCTTGCAGGCATCGTCTGAGCCTCAGAAATCAGGCAAGGAAGCAAAACCATTTATGGGGTGCTCACCATGATCCCAGCTTTCCATGGGTTCAGCAAGTTGACTCTTACTGCCTCCATTTTACAGATAAGAATATGAGGCTGGAGACGTGAAATCACTTGCCCTGGATCAACACGGCCCCAAATCAAAGACGACTCGGTCTGAACTCGGACTTTGGGCCCCAGGGCCAGTGCTCTTCCGAACACAGGTGCCACGGCACGCAGCGGGCATGGGAACAGCAGCAGGGAGTGCCGCTGCTACTGTTACCGCCATCACCACGCCCACGGCTGCTTAGAGACTCTGTGGCCCAAAGGCGGGGGCCGTTTCACGTGGCCTCATCTTTTAGAGCCCCCAGACCTGGGCCATATCCCTGCTAGGGAGGCAGGAGTCAATAGGCTCAAAGACCAGAATTGGAAAAGAAGATGTGGTTTAAAACTGCCAGACAGCAGAGCAGGCTCCCAAGCAGCTCTGGTGAATTTCATCAACTTTTTACTTTTCCTATTGTTTGCTAACATCTCCGCCAACAGGTACATCCCTTAAAGCACACAAGCTGCAACAAAGCGCTTCTATGAACAAATGGATGCGGTGGCTGGAGCTCGCAGGAGGCAACACAGGGGGCGCACCCTTCCCTCCTCCCGGCCACCGCCACTGAGGCAGGAACGTGGGAACGTGGTCTCAGCCGGCGAGGAACTGCAGAGCCTGAATCCGGAATTTAGAAACACAGAGGCAAACACACATAAGGGAAAAGAAAGAAGGCTTCACTGATTGCATCATAACATGAGCATATTTGCAAAATAAACAGTTATCATCATTTGCAAATTATTGTGGCTGTAAAAACTGCTCTGCCCTCAAGGAGGTTGATACAAACCAATAAATTCTGCCCTTTGTTATCTTGGTGAGATAATTTTTTTTTAAGTTTATGGCTACTCTACGTATTTTACCTGCTGCATTTTTTTGTTGGTGGAGTTTGGATTTAAATGTATTTTTAGAGCATCCTAAATACAAATAATCTGATTTTTCATAAAGGCCTCAAAATAATATGTAACTCAACATAGAACCGTTAGAGATTTAACACCTTCCCTATAGAGATTAGTAAGATATTAAAATTATTAAGATGTTAAAATTAAAAGATAGTCAAAACCACAGCCACGAGTCTGAATTTAAATCTTGTTTTCCACTGCTGATGCTGCAGCAGAAGAGAAAAATTGGTCATTAATTAAAACATTGATGGGCCTTTGACATAGGGCATGTGGGGTCTTAAAAGATACAGACCAAAAATTAAATTAAAGTTTAACGAAGGTGGTGATTGCCCCTCTGGCGAATTTTCCAAGGGATGAGAAGATCATTGAATAAGTCTGTTTCTATACACAAATGCAACTTGTTTATTTTGACCCCAGTTCTTCGAAATTGTCGACTCCACAATTGAAATATGCTGTGTGTTCCAACAAGTACCCAGCAGCCGTAATGACAGACCAGCCCATCTGTGCTGCGAGAATGTATAATTTCAGTCTATAGTGGAATTTATATAGAAGCGATGATGTGAAAAGTGCTTTGCGTGGTACTTTCTTCAAAAAAAAAAAAAAAAAATACTGCCGAGAAGCACTGGGTGCCATGGAGAATGCTGAGATTTTGGCCTGATTTTTTTAAAAAGCAGAATCCGTAGCATATTACTGATTTTGAGGGTGGTGGGGGAGGGTCGAATGTTATCCAAGTTAAAAAACTAAGATGCTAGTTGATCACATACAACGGTCCCAGGTACCGAAGGTGTACGTGGGACAGTGAATTTTTCATGCATGTTAAAAACACTAGATAAATTTAATTGCAATGGCAATACTAATTTAGAATGAAAATGTTCCTTTATGTGAATTAACTGATTTTTCTGCTACTTGCCCCTATCTTGTCCAAGAAAACAAAAAACAAAAACAAATTAATGATCAGGAAATTTGCCCATCTCTCAATCCAGGATTTAGGATTAAGGGTCTATTTGCCTACATTAATTATACAAAAAAAAAAAAACAAAAACAAGTAGCCAGTTATTCAACACGTAAATTCTTTTAAAATGCTGAACTCTCCCACTTCTCCCCTGCCCATTCCCTATCGCCTTGACTCTTTTGCTTTTAAATGTATTGTGCTTTTTTTCTCTATTACTTTTATTTTGCCACCAGTGTTTTATTTGATGCTTGCTAAATATTTGGGTGGCATGAATCCTCCAACTTGCAGCAGCAGAATGTGGCTGTCATGTCATGAAATGTTTTAATTATCTCTGCTATATATATATGCCTGTTTCTGCAGCCCCAAACCCTCCAGTATCGACTGCTGGCTCATCTAAGAACAAAAGCAGCCGCTGAGAGTCCTCGTGTTAGCCGAGCTCCGTTTTCAGATTTGGTGCTGTCTGCCGAGGCCGGCCGCTCAGACCGAGACCGGCGCACGCAGGGCCCACGCGCCTCCGAACTGAGAAAACAAAGATGGATTTCCATGGGAGTTTTCCTCGCAGTGCCATTTTCGAACTTTCCGGGTCTGATTTTCCATTTTCCATAAATCAAGACCCTGGCTCCCCTCAAGGGTGGGGAACCAGGCTGCATCCGAGGACGCTTTTGTTAGCCTGCCAGAGCATGGAGGTGGGCCCGGAGCAGTGCTCTGCGAAGCCCACCTCGGAATCAAAAGGGTCAGTGCTTCTGGAGGGCCAGGGACCAACAGGGACACCCGGGCAGCCACTGAGCGCAGCTCCTGGACAGCGGTGGCGAGGTGGGGGGACACGAAGGTCTTTGAGGGACTCTCAGCCATGCCGGCCATGTTTCAGGCCCTGCACGACCTGGGTGTCTCCCCCAGCAGCTCTGCATGTGAGGATCCCCTGGCATGGGATCCAGGACATGGGCAGGCCATGAGGCCACTCAGGCTTCCCTGAGGGTCTGTGTAGTGGATGGTGCCCACGCATGCACACTCCACACGCAGCCTGTGGGCAGGGCGGTGACACAACAGGCACAGCACTTTCAGGTGGAACCCCCAAGTTGAAGTAAGTGCTCAAAAACAAAGCCCACAACAACCGAAAATATTTTTCCCTATGCTGAGCTGAGGGCCAAAAGGAGCTTGCTTTCTTTTTCTTTTTTTTCCCCAAAAACTAAAATGAAAGGGAGAAAGAACTCGATCCCTAAACTGTGGACATGGTCACATTAAAGATGCCGGACAACATAAAAGGGCCTCTGTTTCTAGATGCAAAGTCCTCCCTCCCGGGGCCGGCCTGGCCCTGCCTGCCGATGAGTTTGCTGGGAGGAGCCGTGGATGGTCCTGGTGGTTTTCCCTATGCCAGTCCTGGTGCCGCCAAAAATTAAAATAAAATAATAATAATGAGGCCTCCACACAAACCGACACAGCCAGGCAGGCAGGAGGCGGCCGTGGCTGTCAGTGCCTCCGAAGCGTTTGTTCCCACCATAATGGAAGACGCAGCTACTGTGAAATGATAAACATTCATTTTTATTGTGATTTCTAAAGCCTGTAGCTTTGAATCTTGAAAGTAAATGGGCTTGGCTCCTGCATTTTCCCTGCAGTTTCTGGCAGGGCGTCCTCCTCGGAAGATGGAGGGCTCTGAAATAGAATTCCGAGTTTGGAGAACCAATTAGAGGGAGGACACGTAACAGGCACCGGGGCACAAGATGGCAGCACCCTCGGCTCGTCTTCACGACAGAAGGAAAGAAGGTGACTTACCCGAGGTGCCGGAAGATGGAGGCGCCTTCTCCAAAGCCAGGAAGTGAAAATGACGTCCCCGGGCCTGGCCGGTCACCCGGGCGGGGGAGGAGGGCAGGTCCCGCCCGCCACCAGGCTGTCCGGTGCCAGCCCCGGCCGCAGGCCTGTGGCCCCCTGGTCTCTGGCCGCTGCCGTCCTTCGGTCCAGTGGGCCCTGCTGGGCCTCAGCCACCCCGGCACAGGGGGCAGGGCTGCCAGGAGCCATGTGGCGCTGGGGGAAGGCCCCACTGCCAGCCCCGGAGTACGAGGAAAATGCTACTTTTGTCTCCTGCTCTCATCTGGCACTGGCTGCCCGGGGAGGGGGGGCAGAGGCGGACGCTGCAGCTCGGCCCCGCCCACCGGGAATTTTTGAAAGATGCTCGTGGGTGCAGGAGGATGGCAGACGTGGCAGTGGCGGGTGGGCCGGGCCCCCAAACCCACCACCAAAAAAGGAGGAGGCTGGCCGGGCGGGAGAGGGAGGAGGAAGCCGGCGTATGGCCACTCAGTGGCCAGCCAGGGAGGACAAGGGGAGCGGCCGCCCAGGCCTGGCCAAGGTGCCAGCACCCCGTGGACGGGTAGCACTGACTGGGCGCCATGCTGTGGGCGCCTGCCTGGCCGGGCTGCTCCGAGGGGCTGGGCGTCCAGGCGGCCTGGCTCGCTCCAGGGATAGAGGCCGCATTGTTCCCATGCCAGGCTCAGCAGGCAGCAGCCAGCGCCCTGGCCATTTCCCTAGGGTGAGGCCAGAGACCCCACCCTGAAAGCCGCTCTAGCCGGGGCCCTCGCAGTGAGCCCTCTTCTAACGCCCCTAGAGGCTGGCGCTGCTATAGCTGGGAGCCCAGGCTGCAGGTTTGAATCTGGCCCTGTGTCCAACTCGCCACTTCATCACGGGCAAGCCTGCCTCAGTTTCCCCATCTATAGAATGAAAGGGGATAATGGCTCCTCCCACTCAGGGCTGCTGGAGTGGCAGAATTAACAATGTGCACAGCGCCCCAAGCCCCGTCCAGGAACCCAGTGGGCGCTTGATGCTGAAGGGGCTGAGGGTGGCCAGGCAGCCGGCAGTGGATGGGGTCCCGGCGGGGGAGTCCAGGCCCGTCACCCCCTACTCTCACACCCTCACAAATCTTTGATTTCACCAAAACCAAACCTTGCCACCATGTCAGGGAAACATCCCAGTCCTCTGGCCCTACAACTGGGGTTGGCAGGCCTGGGGTTTCACTGTGGCTCTTTGATCTGGAGATAAAATATCGGACCCCACTGCTCTCTCCTGCAGGCATAAGGCTGGGTCTGCTGGGTCACGTGTTTGTCCAGCTTTCCCCTGTCACCCTCTGTGACCAGGAGCTGCAGCAGTGACCACAGGGTTGTCCTTGTGCAGGTGAGCAACAAGGCTGGAAGTGTGGGAAGGGGCTCCCCAGGAAGTGGGGCCACCTACCCCACAGCTGTCTGGGGGCAGGCAGGGCCAGCTCTACACTAGAGGGGACGGTGTGGAGTGACCACCGCCCGGCTCTGAGCCTGACTCCTGGGCGTATGGGACACATCAGGGCCTTTCTGTCAATAAGGACTTGAGATAAAGGGTGGTCTGGGCGGACCGTGAGAGCCTCCTGCAGTGGACAGGAGCTCCCTGCTGCCTGGATTCTGTTTGATTTTAACACTGCTTTACGCCTGCTCAGAGCGGGTCCTGCTGAAAGCCAAAAAAAGAGGGTGGGAGTGAGTGAGCGAGGAGGAAGCTGCCCAGGAGGAGCCCTCAGTCCTGGGCTCTGGTCTCACTCACGCACATGGCCACGTGACCAGCTCGCCAGCTGATGCCAGAGACAAAGCAGGTAGGATTCCGATGCCATGCGCCCCACCAGGAACGCCGGGAATTCCATTCCAGCAGCGGCTTGGCCCGGCTGCCAAGAGCCTGGCCCTGGGAGGGAAGGGTCCCCCATGCTCCACAGCACGGGGCCTGCCCTGCCAGCCGGCAACATCAGGAAGCCACTCAAGATGGGATGGCAACGGTAAGAGTCACAGGGGCATGGCAGAGGAGGCAGGGCCTGGGTTACGGCTGCAGGAGGAGGTGCCCGCCCCCCAACCCACAGGACTGCCTCAACCAGAAGTGGCCACTGCTGTGCCCAGCTGGCTGCCCAGGAGATAATGGCAAGCCTACCGGCCATCGTGGGACTCAGGACACGAGGGCGGTGGGCCTGGACTCCAGCCCGAATCAGGCCCTTCTCAGATGGAGCTCCAGGTGGCAAGGCTAGGGCACCATTGTACTATGCGGGGCCAGAATCCCTGCCATGCCCTTCTCCCGGCAGTGTGGGGAGGGCCCCACAGGCAACACCCATGTAGGCCCACATGCTCAGGACACACATGTGCCCCTGCAGGCCAGAACCCACACAGTGGGGCAGCGGGGCTCTGCGGGACAAGCAGCCCCCACCCAATTTGCCGCAGCTTCCCTTAGCATTAAAATATACGGAAAACTGGAGCGCCGGCACCATCATTTTATTATAATTTAAAATGTAATTATAAAAGGCTGATTTGAATGTAAATATCTCTCTTAAACACATGAAAGGGGATTCTAAATTTACGAGCCCCAAATCAGCAGGTAAATATTTCAGCTAAATGCTCTCCCTGCCATCTGAAATGCCAGAATGAAGGAAAGGGCGTTCCACAGGAAAAAAAAAAAACACCACCAAAAACCCGGTTTTAGAAAGCCAAAAGCAAAAGGGACGATTCTTTTTTAATCTGGAGGGAAAATTCTGTCACTGAATTAAAAAAAAATTGTTTAGCCTTTTTACTGTGTGGCTTTCATGCACAAATTTGGTAACGGCAAACACCGGTCCTATTTTACAACACGAACCGGCGACCCAGCGGTCACGTCTCCACGAGGAAACCCCCTTGGCGCTAGCTGGACAGTGGGCACGGCCACCCTCTCCACACGGGTTCCTGGTGGTCAAACAGATGAGACTCCCCAGTCCAGACGCCACCAAAAAGCTTCCCATCCCCAATTTTCGTTTTACTTTCAAACTGCCTCCCACCAGGCACAAAAAAGTGACTAGGAACCTGGTTTGGGGGTTTTTCTGCCCATTGTCACAAGATTTCATTCTTTTTCATGATTTTTATATTACCAATTCCACCCATAGCCTCAGAGGCTCCTGGACACGCTGACAGAGACCTCTCTTCTGAGTGGGCTAGGGTAGAGTGCGACAG